ACTTCCGCCACCATCGTCGCCAATCTTCAGCAACCTCGTCCGATGCTCCACGGCCACCCGTCTCGCCGCACCTGGCATCGGCTAGCCAGCCGCAGCCGCGACCAGCGCCGGTCTCCATCAAAGATTTCGAGGTGATCAAGCCAATTAGCAAAGGTGCCTTCGGTAGTGTATATTTGTCGAAAAAGAAGACGACTGGGGAGCATTTTGCAATTAAAGTTTTGAAGAAGGCGGATATGGTTGCCAAGAATCAGGTCACCAATGTCAAAGCAGAACGAGCTATTATGATGTGGCAGGGGGAAAGTGATTTCGTTGCCAAATTATACTGGACGTTTTCCAGCAAAGATTATCTCTATCTGGTAATGGAATATCTCAATGGGGGTGACTGTGCATCTCTTGTTAAGATCTTAGGTGAACTTCCTGAGGATTGGGCTAAGAAGTACGTTGCAGAAGTAGTCCTCGGGGTAGAACATCTCCATAGCAGAGGCATTGTCCATCGAGATTTGAAACCAGACAATCTATTGATTGATCAAACCGGTCACCTTAAGTTGACTGATTTTGGCTTGTCTCGGATGGGGCTCGTCGGGCGTCAGAAGCGGGTTTTGAAGAGTATGAACAATGAGCCAGCGCCCGATCTCCTCAAACAGGGACCTTTCCCTCGCGCTACATCCATCACATCCTCTCGGTCAGCCTCGTTTGATTTTCAAGGTAGCGGTTCGCCAGGATCCACGCCATTGATGACCCCTGATGTGGCTGGGAGCATGCCCCAACCGTCTTATTTCAACCTCAATCAGAGTGGAATTAGTCGACAGGCGTCTCGTCGGGCATCGGGATATCGCAGCGATAGCGTAGGCAGCGAAGGTTTGAATTCCGTCTTCCGTTCTCTATCCCTCCATGACCCTAGTGAAGTGCAGGGTTCATTACCTGTTCCCGTGCCTGGTGCTAGCAACTTGACCGAGGAGGGCCAAAGTGAAGCAGGAGGATCTCCCCATCTATATCCGCTTCAGCAAACGCCTAGTAACTCGGTCCCGCATGACACTGGTCCGCAGCCAGGTATGATGCCGCCATTGATGGCGCTCTTCGACCCCGAGGACCATAACCGTCGTTTTGTTGGCACTCCAGATTATCTGGCCCCCGAGACCATTAACGGCGCGGGCCAGGATGAGATGAGTGACTGGTGGTCCTTGGGTTGTATCATGTTCGAATTCCTTTTTGGCTACCCTCCTTTCAACGCAAGTACCCCAGATGAAGTGTTCGACAATATCCTCCATCGGAGAATCAACTGGCCGGACCAGGTGGAAGAGTTGACGAGCTCGGAGGCTATTGATCTCATGAATAAGCTTATGACTACCGATCCTGCTCAGCGGATTGGAGCCAACGTGGACGAAAAGTATCCGAATGGGGGAGCAGAGATCCGTAGCCATCCTTGGTTTTCGGATATCAATTTTGACACCCTACTTGATGACAAGGCGCAATTTGTCCCAAATCTTGAGAACCCGGAAGACACCGAGTACTTCGATTCCCGTGGAGCTACACTTCAAGCCTTCTCCGAGGAGCTGGAGGATGGAGACTCTCCTCGGCCTGTAACCACCGGACCATATCCAGATCGCCCGCACGATGCCCTTTTCAAGGTTCGCTCACAGGTCAATGCATCGAAGCGACCCTTGATGCCGCTGCATATCCCGCCTCATGTCCGCGAGTCACGTAGTAGAAGACTGAGTGAGCCTTCTTTGGAAGATGACTTTGGCAGCTTCTCTTTTAAAAATCTCCCGATGCTTGAAAAGGCAAACAAAGATCAGATACAGAAACTACGCCAATCGGCGATGCAAGCACAGCAGCGCCCGTTCGCGTCTTCGGGCGCCCAGCAACAGCCTCCAGGAAAGGACCAGGGGCAGAATCAGGCACAGACCCCGGCACCATCTTCGGCTGGTCCCTCCCTGGAAGGAAGTCCGTTACCAATGTCGTTGCAGCGAACCATGTCACAAAGTAAAGGAAACAATCGACCCTCCTCCCCGTCAAGCCAAGCAAACTCCTCTCCCAGTCGTCCGTCTCAGCCTTCGTCCCCTCTTCTGGTTCAATTCAGTACTGGTCATCACAACCATGAACGCAGAAAAACATCTGGTTCTTCGTCGACCAACTCTCACCACTCCAGTGCCTCTGGTCCACCTGCTAGCGCTGAGCAGGCTCGTATGGCAAGCCTAAAGATTAGCTCATCCGCGTCGTCGCCGGTGAAAACAAGTCGAGCCGCCACAACTCATTCACCTGACAAGACACCATCAGGCCCTCCCCGTCACGGCAGTGCGCCCACGAGGGCTAGATCGCAGACTATCGGGTCCCAGGATGGTGATTTGTCTTCATCAGTGGCTAAGGAATTATATGTTGCTGGTCACTACAAGCGACGCAGCCAACGATTCAACGATATCTCACCTTCTTCGTCCGACAATGAAGACCCACGTACGAAGCAGTTGTTCAAAAACCAGCGACAACGCCAAAGTTCCAGGCGCCTTTCCCAGCTTAACTACCCCGAGGGCCCATTCTTCCGGCCGTTGGATGTACTGATCTGCGAGGATCATCCGGTCTCCAGGATGGTGATGGAACGCCTGTTTGAGAAGCTCCGTTGCCGTACGATCACCGCTGTGAATGGCGCAGAGGCTATGCGCTACGCTCTCAGCCAAGTGCAATTTGACATTATCATGACGGAGTTCAAACTGCCCCAGGTAAATGGAGCAGATGTCGCGCGTATGGTTCGGGAGACACGGAGTGCTAATCGACACACCCCAATTATTGCGGTAACGGGCTATTTGAAAGACTTCCCTGAGACTCACCACTTCGATGGGCTGATTGAGAAGCCCCCAACTCTGACCAAGCTTACCGAGGCATTGTGTAAGCACTGCCAGTGGAAACCTCCACCGAATGATTCTCTTCCTTCTCAGCCTTTGGCTGTTCCGTCCGCAACGCCACGCCAGATGCCAGTTCCTGCTGAGCACAGTCCAAGCTCAGTAACATCATCCAACTTTGCCCCGGTGCCTGCAAGCTCGTATCAAGGTTCTAGTCGCGCAGACTCCATCGGCAGTAGCTACTTTGGTGATATGGAGTCTGTCAAAGCTGAGGATGCCCCAATTGTCGGGGGTCGTAAGACTGACGAATGGTGTTCAAGTCAAGGCGGACTAGGTATATCAGGAGATACGGGTCCAAGTCAAGGGGAATCGACCCAAGGGACTCCTGAATCCAATAAGTACAACTCAGACCCTGCCTCGCTGCCGCATTTGCTTCATGCTGTCTCCGCCCCGACTTCTATGAATGCCTCTGGCACGCTCACCCCGCGGAAGCAGCGCTCCAGTGAAGCGATTCGCGCCAGGAGAGAATCTTTGGAAAGAAAGCGCTATGAGGGTGCGGAGTCTGGTGACGATGAAGACGAAGAACTTGGACGTTCCAAGTCACGCACACAAAGCCCGAGAAATCGGTCAACTCGCCCCGGCTCTAAACTGGGCATAGAGATGATGAGGACCAACAGCAGAGGCAGCGTGGTCAGTGGCAGTGAGGAGTTACTCAAGAAAGAGAGAGAATCGCTCGAGAGGAGGAGGAGGAGTGGAGGCTCAGAGAGTATCAGCGAGGAGCGAGCGGAATCTCCTGGCATAGAGAATAGGTTCGAAGGGCTCCATTTCCCGGAAGACGCGATTGCGCTGTCGGAAGACAATTATAGCCCTAGGCAGTCTCCCACACTTTCGGCGTCACATATGAGTCCCTGTTTCTCTACAATGCCCCGTCTAGGATCCTCGTTTGCTCATGACAATACCGAGACAGGCCCAGGTGTCAGCCCGGACACGAGCACGGAAACTCTCAAAAAGGGCCATATAACTCCTCCCATCGTGTTCACGACGGAGGATGAGTCCGCGTCGGTCGACCCAAACACACCTTACATCCAGATGTCCAGTGTCGAAGATGACACCGAAACGATCCCTGATTCTGAAGCCACTCCACGGCCGATACATACCCCTTCACTCGGCCTAGATTCAGAGATTACACCTCGTCAAGGAGGACGATAGAGCGTTTACGTTTACACTTCGGTTGAAAAGATAGACTGTTTGTCTTTGATTTAGAAATTGCCTAAGGCGCAGGTGTGTCGTTGCCTGGCCAGATATTCTGCTTGTCTCTTGTGCGGTCATGGCCCTATTTTCCCTTCTCTGTATTTCCTACCCCCTCCCTTTCCTTACTAAGGAGACATGGTTGATATCGCAGTCTGCCAAAGTTACTCTCCAATCTGCTTGTTTTTCTTTTTCTAGTCGTTTCTCACATTATTTCCCTTGCCGGGTTAAGCGGGTGTTCCGGAGTGATTGATATCATCTCAATCAGGTCATTTTGATTTTCTTTCTTTTCCACTTTCAATATCCTTGCTTCAATTGCAATTGCACCATCTCATTTCATTCCATTTCCTATGTTCTACCAACTCATATCTTCAGTTCAAAACCAACCAAAAAAATCGTGTATGTACGAAATCAACAACCCGTCCGTCCAGGCAAAGCAAGAAAACGGGACAACCGAGATGGACTCTCATACGGGCACAAAAAAGAAAAAGGAAAAAAAAAGAACCCTTCTGCACGCATGAGAAGATCATTTTGTTCTTTCTATTTATGGCTTCGGTAGTAAATATTTATGTGTATTTTATGATATGACACGTGAGACTTTTATGATATGGTGCATGATTAGCATTGGCTTTGTCACTAATTGGCTGATTTGTATCGAATGTATTTGTAGTTGTTGAAGTGCTTTGAGGGTGTTTGTGAGAGCAAGTCCTTTCCTTTTCCCTTAAAGATTTAAATACATTGCTTGTTTTATTTTTGATTTTTCTCCTCTACCCGAGATGGATAATCTCCTTGCTTCCAATATCGAGGATGCTGGATTCAATTCCATGGAGTAGTAAACACAGTTTCCTATTTCTCCCTAGCCTTATTGCTAAGGCTAAACTTTGATTGCGCCGTTGGATCCCATCCCAACAATCTTCGAACATCTCCAGGTGCGGGCGCAGGAAAGTCTACAGCAAAATGGAACGAGATGATGTCCCAGAAACTAAAGCATTCTTCCAAAAGCCGTCTGCTTCCTTTCAAGTTCTCTCTGATCTCCACCTTGAGATCAACCAGCAATATTCATCTTTTGAAATTCCCGTCTGCGCAAAATATCTCATTCTCGCGGGTGATATTGGGCGCTTAGTAGACTACGACAACTATCGCGACTTCATACAGAAGCAGACAGACCGCTTCGAGCTGGTATTTCTCACACTTGGAAACCATGAATTTTACAACGGGTCCTTCGCAGAAGGACTCGACAAGGCAAAACAACTCGAACGAGAACCTTCATTAAAAGGACGCCTAGTCCTACTTCATCAGAGACGATACACCATCCCCGGGTCCCGGGTTACTATTCTGGGCTGCACACTTTGGTCCCACGTCCCGCCCGACTCGCGAGTCATCGTGCAGTCGAAGATTCAAGATTTCCAGAAAATCAAAAACTGGACGATCGATGACCATAATGCACGTCATGAGTCAGATCTGGCCTGGTTGCTGAACGAGATCCGGACAGCTGATGCACCGGAAACGCGGGCCCAGAAGCAGCAGCAGCAGCAGTCTGGACTAGTCGTCGTGACGCATCATGCACCTTCGCGACAGAAGACGTCGAGTCCGCAGCATGCGCAGAACGCCTGGAGCTCGGCGTTTGGAACGGATATTCTATCGAATGGGTTGTTGGATGGGGTCCGAACTTGGGTCTTCGGGCATACGCACTATACGACTGATTTCAGGGAAGGAGGTATAAGGGTTGTGAGTAATCAACGGGGGTATGTGCTTCCTTGGAGTAAGATGGATGGAAAGGATGGGTTTGATGTTGGGAAGGTTATCCGTGTGTAGACAGGACAATTCCAAACGGAATAACATCCAAAATATCAAATCTCTCTCTCTCTCTCTCTCTCTCCCTCCACCTACTACTCCGGTCTATAGTTCTCTCATTCTATGATATGTTGACACAAGCGCAAATGCGCAAATGCCTCGAGGAGCGATGCCAATGGTCAAACCTCGATCTGTATAATTGTCTAATCTTTATACTTATATATCTGTTTAAGGCTGAGGTAATTGGCCAGTGTGTCATTTTCTCCTTTATAAATGCTGTAACCAAGTCTCTTACTGCTCAAGCGCGCGATTTCTGCCAAATATCGTATTCATTTGTTGCTATATTAAAGCAAAGGATGTATGTTACAGGATCAAGATGCGGTTCCATAGGTGTGTTTAAAGTAGAGGTAACCTGTCGGATAGTCACTTGGTATTTTTTGTGTTTAGATGATACAATGGTTGTTATTGAGTATACAGGTTGTACGCAGGCTTCACTGCTTAGAGATAGTAATTATCAATCTTGTAAATTCTAATAATTAAATGACAATGAATGATAAAGACGCTCATAGCGAACAGATGTATGAACCGCCAGCATATAATGTGTATGCTCATATGAACGAAACATGTAACAAAACTCAGTCCTGTCCGTTTCCATATTGCAACTAAGAAAAAAAAGGAACGATGCCGCCCTCAATGTAAACCATAAAATAACGTGGATCATGTGCACGTAGGTATCAGATAGATGGCAGTATGTATGATCAAATATATTTTCAGATAAAGAAATGAGCGTTTGGGGTTTATCGTGCACCCGGCGAAACGGAGCGGATATCGCCCGCGTCGAATCGACCTTGCTCGGCCAGATCGTCACGCTCGCGGCTGACGCTGGACCGGTGGCGGAAGAACCGGTTGCGACTGATGGAGGACAGGCTATGGGTGCCTTGGGACTCCGTCGACCGACGGCCTTCACCCGAGTGGGTCGGGACGCTGAGGTTGGACGGGCGACGTGCCCGGGAGGACGATGAGCGGCTCCGGCGTTCGGCCTCTTCTTCCTCTTCCTCTTCCAGGATGCGGCGCTGGGCGGCGTCGCGGTTGGAAGAGCGGACGACGTCATCGACACGAGGGGAGTTGGTTTCAAACACATCGCCCATCACATCGCCGGAGGAGAGATCGCGCATACCCAACGAGAAGTCGACATGTTTGTGTGACTGCATCGACTCGCCTCGGGCACGGGCGGCAGCGGTGTTCATGCCTTTGCGCAGGATCGACGGATGGCGGGTGGCGCTGGAGCTGCTGTGTCCGGTATTCTCGGGCATGTCGTAGATGGGGGTGGGCGGCGGACGACTGTCGTGGTCGGCCGATGACATCTGAGATGGGAAACCCGTGACGTGGAAGGGGATATCCACACGGGCACCCTGGAGGTTCATGCGTGGGCCCTCGATGCCAATCTCTTGCAAGGCAACCATGAGCATACAGATGAACTTGTTACGACGCTGGAGACGCAATCCTTCGTTCTGCCAGTTGGACTTGTAAAAGAAGACGACGTTGAGGGTCACAGAGAAGTTTTCCGTCACAGCTCGCATCTCAGTCAAGATATTAGTCTGGAACTCGCGCTTTTCGCTGCGGACGAATTCCAACAGGCGTTGACGGAGAGCATCAATCTGTTCGAGCGTTGTGCCGTACTTGATCACAATGGGGATTGCTTCCGCGAGGGCACCGGATCTGCGTTGGTTGAGGATAAAGAGCCCGTTGAGATAGCTGTTTGGTGCCTGGACGATGTGGCCCTGCATCTTCTTGAACTCCGTGTAGAGCAAGGAGATCTGTTTTACAAAGTAGTCATCACCCAAACCAGCATCACCTGCGTTACCGTAGATCGTCACACGGTCACCCACATCGAAGGGATGCTTGACAAATACGAAGATAATCGACTGCAAAAATTCCTGGGCGGTGGCAGAGAAAAGCCAGGACAAGGCAAGAATACTGGAGCCCGCGGAGGTGAGCACACCGGAAGCCGAGGTTGAGATCAACGATACGAAGACGATCAAGCTGATGACGACGACGAAGAATTCTAAAACATTGTCGAGTCGTGAGACCACTGAATCCAGATCCTTGAGAGATGCAGTGATAGCCTTGCGTTCCCGTCCGATCTCCACACAAACCGCCTCCAGTTCGTCCATAGAAATGTCGCCATTCATATCCTTGTCGAACATGATAAATGCTGCCTCGGCCTCCTCGCTATTATCGAACGCCTCTTTGAGATCACCGGCAAAGACAGTGTCGAATCCGTCACGCACGAAAGTCCGGTAGAGACGTCGGGCTAGGACCTGGCAGCCCGAGGTGGTTCGCAACAAGGTCAAAATGACTTGATAGGGATGAGTACTGTTAGTCGCCTTCCGGCCCGTAAAGTCCGCGGCAACAGCTCCGGCCATATCTCCAACTTTGTTCAATGCACCTTTGGCTACACGTTGCGCCTTGCCAGCGTATTGCATCGGATAGCGCAAAGGGGTTTTGGTGCCGCTGCCACCGGCATCATTCTTTTCTTCAAACTCATCGTCTTTCACCGAGATCTTGTTGCGAGAGAAGTCGTACAGCTTGGTCAAACTGCCAATCTGGAATTTATTGATCTCAATCCGATCGGCATAGGTCCGCGTATGGAAACTGATGGCGATCAGTTGGATAATGATCTTTTCGATATAGTTCAGGACCGTCCAGATAAAGATGGAGATGATAATCTTGTTGACCGTATTCTCCCATGAACGCGTACGTGGGTTGCCGTCCACATGATGATTCTTCATTGTGGGAAGAAAAGAGATCTCGATACCTAGCCACCAAAAGAAAAATGTCGCGTGCAGCTCCAATTGCTTGGCCATGTCGCGCCACTTTTTGGCGTTGTTGGTAAAGATACTGGCCAACAACCCTGCAACGACAGGAATACATTTGGCCACAATCTAACGCATTGAACCGTCAGGTACATCGCAGGAGCAACCGGAAAGGGAAAGGATACATACTCTACCAGCCCATAAAGTCAACCAGACAATTTCCAACCACACGGAGAACCAGAGCAGTTCGACACCGCCCACGTTCGCATCCGGGTAAGCCAGTGCGCCGACCAGCAGCGGGATCAATAAGATAACAACGAGGGGTACAATGTAGGTTAAATAGCGAACGATGAAGCTGGACTCGTGGATCCTTTTGACAAATCGGGCGATGTTCGTGTTGGGAGACTCCGGTGGATTGTAGACAGCAGCCTTCTCGTGCAAAGGATTGGTGGCCTCATCAAACTCGTCCACGTTTTGAGAGCGATGCGAGCGAGACCGCGATATCGAGTTGCGCTCACCTTTGCTCTCCGTGTCCTCATGGGTGGAACGCGACGCCACCTTCTCCGCTTCAAGGAGAGCTAAGTCATCTTCGAGGCGTTTGGAGTGTTCCCTTTGAGCCGAAGGCGAGCGTAAAGCTGTCCGGTCCAAATCGTCGGCAGACGAGGTGTCAACGGTGAGGTGTGTGTTCCCGTGAGTGTCCTGCGAGCCCTCGTTGATGTAGGTGCCTTCGTCCGAGGTTGGGGAATGATCGTCGGCCCGGCTCTTCTTTTCCGAATATTTGGGAGCAGGAAGCTCCTCCACAGGGGTCGACATGCCGGCACCAGGCCAGGAGTCTTAGTAAATATTAAGTGTAGTTGGTATCGATTGATTGCAGTTGGACTGGAAGCGCGTCAGAAAACTACCAACGCACGATAGCTTGAGATATAAAAAAAAAAAAAGAAAAAAAGAATGACTAAATGGGGCAAAAGAATGAATGGATGAATGAATGAGACCCCGGTATATGGCAACCCAAAGGAGTCTAGAAGGGCTGGAACAGTGTTGGCAGAGGGGAGTAGTAGCATAATAAATATGCGATGGGTCCAACAATACGAGACGGAGACGCACCTTCACCAACGATAGTGGGGACCCCGATGTCAGACTAACAAGCAGACGGGACTTAGAGTGGGCATCGGATACCGGGCCCGTGGTGGTCTAGTCAATAGAAAGGAAAAAGAGTTTAATAGTGTTGTAAGAAAAGAATAATTACAAGATGGAGAACTATAGAGACAGTAGAAGGTAAAGAAAGATAGATGGATGGATGGCGATAGACGAGGAGGAGGAGGAAGAGGGAGGGAAAAGGAAACCAAAGAGGAGAGAACCAAGGAAGTATTAAAACGGAAGGTCGTTACTTTATCCCTAGAAGGTTGTTAAAGGAAAAAAAAAAAAATCAAAGTTGAGCACGGAAGCACTGACAAGCACAGAAATTATGCAGCCGAGTTCCAATGGAGGAGCAGTTGATTTGTGCCGATCGCACGGGAGAAAATTAGGACGGTGGAGACCTTTCACCATGCGAAGAATTTCTCAGTTCCAGACCGTTTTGCCATTTGATGTCAGTGTTTTGGATCCTCGCTGAATTGACTTCATTAGGGTTGCGTCTTTGTCGGAATCATAAACATCGGGGCTCTCGTACCCCAAATTAACCAGGCGTCGTGTTTCCCTATCACCATTGTCAAGATATCAAAATCCTTATCTATCAAACCTAAATTGTATTTTTATCCTTTTTTGCGATTCCACAAACCAGGGACGGGGCGATGTGGCTTTTTTTTCTCTCATGTTAAACCAGATCTCGAGATTAACTAAGGGGAGCCACCCGTTCACCGTCGGGTTGGATCAGTGGTTCTGGCCAGTGGCCACTGCCCCTCCTCAGTGGCTCCGTTGGGTCCTTAGCTTTCCTACTAGCAGTGAACGACCCAACAGCTCTGACCAATAATGACCCTTATCGCAGGCTTCTGGTTCGACTTGAGAACGTGTGCTCCGAGGAAGGTAGGGGAGTCGGGACCCCTACCGCGCACGTCGGTCTAGATGTAAGTTTCAGTTCAACGGGCGTGAAAGTAAGATTCCTTGCATAGCTGCAAAAAAGACCGAGTTTTCCTCTCATCCCCCAGACACTTATGCAAGTATCTTCGGCAGGTGGATTCAGGTTCTCGGGGAAAAGATAGTTCGAGACGGATGGCGAGTCATGTTACTGAGCACTTACTACTTCTACTAAGTAGTACGGAGTACGGAGTACTCGATTTGTGATGGCGATGGGAACCGGTCATTGGTTGACCATCTCCGTCGAAGTAAAACACACGATGGGAAATTGGCCACCGCCAAGAAACGCCACCTCAGGCACAACTTACGGCAAGCTCTGAACTTTTCTCACTAATTCTCACCGGCCAAAAAAGGAAGAGGGAAAATCAACAAGGAAGGGAATATGTCAAAAGGTGTCAATCACATTGACAGCGGCAGTGAACGTTGGACTAGCTCTCGCTTCTCGGCACGGTACTTTTCAGCTCAAGAAAGTCTCCTCTCTCTCCTCCGTGGTTTACGAACAATAGCATTAGTCATTCGCTTCGTTGCAGTCCCCATTGGCCTTGATATAACTACTAGTGGGTATGTTAGTCATGATGGGTATATTAATCAGAATCTCACACAGTGCGAATATTCATAGTATCGATATCGTACCAAAAAAAAAAAAAAAAAAGACTATTTTGCGAACTATGCGTATATATTGGTAGAAAAAAACCTGATTTTGGTTATGCACTGCATATGCACCCCATTGTGATACATAATGTATGTCTTAAGTATTAGCCGGAGGCGATGGCTATTGATTCGAAAGTATTCGTTGAGTAAAAGAAAAAGGAAAAAAAAAAAGGGGAGAGTTACATTCCCCAACTACCTTCCATAGTCCTACCATCCATACCTGGTATAGTGCAATAGAATACTTGCACAACCCAACATCCATCGTGATTGTTAACTCTTCTGAGCATGGAGTTGTTACTCCGATCTGTGTCTTTTTGGACGTTGACGTGTTGTTCCCCGCTCTAGTTAACCAGTCAACGGGAGACTCCTCTTATGACGATTCTCTACCAAATCTTGATAGGCATTCAGACAATGGTGGAATGCCCCATCATAAACTCTCTTTACTAAGAAGTGCATAAGCGAAGAGTTGCAACCCTGTCATTCTATGCACAACGATATACTCAATACCGAAGATAATTGCATACTGTGTATACTGTGCTAGATGTATACCTCGCATTCTACTCCGCATGGATATTGACCATATTACGCACCAGAAACCGAGGTATGGTAGCATTCCATCCCCGCATTTCCCCAAGAGCACGTGGTGGAAATACATCCCTTCTCCATAATGAAGTTTGATATAAAAGGTCAAGCCCTGGAATGTAATGGCCGGATCTTCTCGACATGGCGGGAAACGAACATAGTACTCCATTGGTAGAGCTCCGAGAAATAACCGGAAAATATTACTATTACTCCGATATAGGCAATCCCCCAGTATAAGCAATTTACAGGGCCAGCTAAATTACTTGGTTATGGAGAGGTTTTAATTATGTTAGCTTATATAATAACTAGTCCATGTACTGGGTCCTTTGTTCTTTCTTCACGAGACATTATTCCGAATACAAATGCTCAGCTACTAGATGCTCAAGGTATTGTACCATAGTATAAGGTAAATCCTGGACGACCTAAAGAGCCCCGGTATCTTTCACGAAGGCTGTACATACCAGCTGGTTTGACGTTCGCTACCCATCTATACCGGCGTTTGTGTGGACCATAGCTTCGATGGGTGCCGATGGGGCTCGGGCCAAGATGTGGAATGTGACGGAAATAGTTTCGTGAGTTAGGATGACGATCTGGACTATATCGGAAGCATATTGGCCTTTCCCCTTCCAATAAGGGCCTTACTCCAAACGCCACCACCGAGTTATCAACGGGGAGCGGCGATCCTCATACTCTCGTCGCCTCACCGTGTATTTTCATTTATCCACATCAAGTCAGGTTCTGGTGATTTATACGACTGGTGGATGGGTTTCATAAAAAGAAGACGGTAAATAATGTTTTGGTCTCCTGATATATGGAACACAATGGGTAAACTTCACGAATGTATGAGCTATGTACCCATATAAGATGCTGGCTGATGCTTTATATTTGTCACGCCCTTCTCTCTCTCTCTCTCTCTCTCTCTCTCTCTCTCTCATACCACACTTAATTTTTGTTTTTACTCAGCTACTTATGTATATATGGCCGTCACTGTCATATCACTCTTTCTTCAGTCGCACGTTTGAGTGATATTGGCAATAAATCCGACCACTGGTTCCTTCAGAGTTCTATGATCTGTAGGTTGAATTATTCCTTCCCGAAAAAGACAAACCAATATCTTCCCGGAGACTCAAGAAGCTACTACCAGCCTTTTCTTTAAACAACCTTTACCCCTATTTAGTCTACATAATATAGCAAGTAAAAGAATTGAACCCTTCACCCTCAAAGCTTCCGAAAGCTGTCAATACCCAGACTTGCTTCCCAGGCGATCTCTACCACCGCGCAGTCATCAAGTGCTTGCTTACTGTACGGTACAATTCTACATCGATATCCCTTCTCTTTCTGTTTGTATCCCTGTACAAAATTCTAAGCCTAATAAACTCCACCGGATATCCCATTCTACTCCTCCACCCACTAGCCATACCACACCTAACAATAGACTCAACGCACTTTGACGATCAAAAAAAGTACAGTCGCGAAAAGTCTAGCTAAATCAAGAAGAAAAGCTAATTTTACTCACCCTTATCTGGCCAGTTATGAAGCCGTTGAGAGCTCCAAGGACGGGCCGAAGCTGATCACGGCGAAAGTCAGGTCTTCATGACCTGGGGTTTTGAGCAGACACACTTCGATTAACGACCAGCTAGAATAATCAGCTGCCTTGGGGCTTATGTCGTTCTGTCGAGGGTGAATACTGTTTATTCCAGTTAATCCAATTATTCAATTAAGTATAATATTGCTTGTTTGGGTATAGTCTGATGGCCTTAGGCATAGTGTATACGGGTAGTCCGAAAGAGGAAGTGTAGGAGCACGGTACAGTATTTATTTTGTGAAGACAGGAGGATACTCTGCATAAGACAAGCTGCAGGGTATATTGTGTGTCCTGTATGTGGCATTCTGGATAGGAATCCGGCTGTACTGATTTCACATTGTTCAATAAAATACTTTTTTTCTCCCCCAACATGAAGAGCTGGGGAGCAATAATATCGACTTCGCAAGGCTAGTGTTATACAAGAAAGTCAAATTTGCCCAAGAAATACTATATCTGACCAAAAGAAAGCGAGGATCAGCTGATAGGTAACGAGGCAGACGGCTGCCTCCGATAGTCTAATCTAACGGTTATTGTGAGTGGAGATAGTAAGTCAAACCTCTGACTTAGAGTTCTTGTTATGTCTCCCGTAATTGTTGATCATCACTTTTCAGCCAGGATTAAACTTGGCAAAATCGGTAGATCTATGGAAGTATATACTATGTACCAAGAAGATATTGTTAATGTTGACTACCGAGTGTGATCCAGGGTCCAGGTTATGGAAGAGGAAATAACATAACATGATGGGCTCTGACGGGTCACGTAATGATCCGCTCAGTGGATAAGTCAGGAGAGGCAGGAGGACTGCTAATTGGCTGACGAGGCCTTGTTTATTGGGCCCACGGGCAAGAACGAACGCCAAACTATCCATCACTCCACTGCTCCTTCACTTTACTAGTTCTCTCTTCTCTCCTCTCCCCGATTTCCTCCTCGATTCTTTTAAACTACACCTGACTTTTTTCCAATTCTCTCCCATCCACCCACCGGGATATCCTGTTGCTCCGTCCTTCTCGCGTATCACCATCTCGTTCAGCCATCATGAGAGGCGAGGTACGAACCACACTGGATTTACTGCCGTTTGCTGATTTACTTCCCCCGCATTGTCACGCCCCTCCCCTTAACCACGCCCATTGACATTCACCTCATTCGGGCTCATCTTGCCTTAGCATCACCCTTGCCCGTGGATATGCATCTCTTGATTCTAACCTCCGTCTGTGATGCTTAGATTTGCCACATCCACATTGGCCAGGCTGGTACACAGCTTGGTAACAGCGCTTGGGAGTTGTACGTTCACCGCTTTTCCGTTGCCAACATATACATACCCCACTCTGAACCAGCCCACGTCTTGGTAGCAACCAGCTTGCAATCAAGCTAATCCCGACCGATATAGATATCTTCTGGAGCATGGTCTCAAGGCTGATGGCCGTATTGACCCCGAGGCATCCGAGGAAGTCAACTCGGGCGGTTCGTTCGAGACCTTCTTCAGTGAGACCAGTAGCGGCAAATACGTCCCCCGTTCGATCTTCGTTGACCTCGACCCATCGGTACGCAATCATCCTCTAGAAAGCAACGGAATGCTTGCGAGGAGTTTGTTACGCTGACTGTCACCAGCCTATTGATGAGATCCGTACCGGTGACTACCGCCAGCTCTTCCACCCTGAACTGTTGATTAGCGGAAAGGAAGATGCGGCCAACAACTGTACGGGCTAAAGACAATACCAGTGGAAAGCAAAGGCTAATCGATGAACGACAGATGCTCGTGGTCACTATACCATCGGAAAGGAGCTTGTGGACAATGTCGTTGACCGCGTTCGCCGGGTGGCCGGTAAGGCTAATGAACCGATCATATTTTAGGCCTCTGCTGATCCTGCCAGATAACTGTTCCTCTTTGCAAGGCTTCCTGGTCTTCCACTCCTTCGGCGGTGGTACCGGCTCTGGTTTCGGTGCTCTGTTGCTGGAGCGCCTCTCCACCGATTACGGCAAGAAGGCTAAGCTAGAGTTCGCCGTTTATCCTTCCCCCCGTGTGTCGACTGCTGTTGTTGAGCCCTACAACGCTGTACTGTCTACCCACAGCACCATCGAGAACGCCGACTGTACCTTCCTTGTTGATAACGAGGCAGTCTATGACATCTGCCGTCGCAACCTAGATATCCCCCGCCCGAGCTATGAGCATCTGAACCGCCTGATTGCTCAGGTTGTCAGCTCCATCACCTCCAGTCTGCGGTTCGATGGTGCCCTCAACGTCGACTTGACTGAATTCCAGACCAACTTGGTGCCCTTCCCTCGTATCCACTACCCGTTGATCTCCTATGCCCCCGTTGTGTCCAGCAACCGCAGCTCTCATGAAAGCTTCAAGGTGCAGGATCTTACCTTCCAGTGTATGGACCCCTTCTTGTTCCCCCAAGTTCTCTTGGTGGCATGGAGTGACTGACAACGACTTCTAGGCTTCGAGCCCAACAACCAGATGGTCGTCTGTGATCCTCGTAACGGAAAATATATGGCTGTCGCTTTGCTGTACCGCGGTGACGTTGTGCCCCGTGATTGCACTCAGGCCATCGCCTCCGTCAAGGCCAAGGCCTCCTTCAACCTGGTCGAATGGTGTCCTACCGGATTCAAGCTGGGTATTAACTACCAGAAGCCTGTGCGTGTTCCCAACAGCGAACTTGCCCCCGTCGATCGCTCCGTTAGCATGCTCTCCAACACCACGTCCATCTCCGAGGCCTGGAGTCGTCTCGACCACAAGTTTGACCTCATGTACTCTAAGCGTGCCTTCGTCCACTGGTACGTCGGCGAGGGTATGGAGGAAGGAGAGTTCTCCGAAGCCCGTGAGGACCTCGCTGCCCTGGAGAAGGATTACGAGGAGGTTGCCAACGATGGCGAGCCATTGGAGGAGGAAGAGCCTGAATACTGATCGGCTTGCAACTCGGCGCCCGCTCTGCTTGTCGGTTTGATTCTTGGCTTGCCTACTTTGTGCCAAAATTGTATCTCGTCCTTGTGCTTGTGACAACCCCTTCTGTTTTCTTGCTTCCCTAGCGTTCGTTCCATTTCCCATACTTGTCCGGTAGCCAGTCGGTAGAATATGGCGCGTAAAAATACGAATATAAATCTAATCTCCTGCGAGGGATTCTCTTCCAGTTCATTATGAATCGGCACCCAGGATAACACCGGGTAATGCATTAGTCTATACTGTACAATCTAATTAAAGTCCGACGGGGCGGGAATCACGCCATGGCCACTTCGAGCTCGCGGAGATAATGCAGCGACTTCTCGTAGGTCCACATCGTCACGGCACTGGCCGGCGCGGCTTTGAAGAGACTCACCGTCAAACCGCGGTAGAGCCCTCGCATCCCCTGTGTCCGCACGATCATGGCCATGGTGTTGAACACCCCCTGGTACTCCGGGATATTCCGATGCACATACTTGGAGCGCGTCGGGCCCTGCACCTGTAGCCTCTTACGCACCAGATCCAACGGAAACACCCCTGTCTTGGCCAACACGCTGGCCACCACTCCCGCCGCGGCATCCCCCGACCCAAACGGCAGATCATGCAATCCAGACATCGTCGGCCGCAATGACTCATACGTCGCAAAAAACAACCCCATGTAGGGTACAATCTGCCCGACTGCCGCACTACATCCTCGAAAGAATCCCCTAGGTCCTTCATTCTGCGCTATATCGCGCACCGATGCGTACAGCGACGCATACACACGTTCTGTGCCCTGCGCTGCAAACCGTGTGCGTAGTAAATCAAGCGGGTACGTCGACGCCGTGGCTAACCCGCCTGCTGTGGCGCCGGCGACGAAGGATTCAGCCGGCGGAGGGAGTCGGTAAGGGTCTAGTTGCGATAGGGCCTGCGTGGTGGTTCGGTAGGCGGCGAATTGGATGGCGCCGTAGCAGACGTACATTAGTTCGGCGGGGATGTTGCCTTTCCATAATCCCTGTTTCTGGAGTTAGACTGGGGGTTGTGGTAGAAGGATTTGCGGGGTTGTATGTAGGTGGTTGGTTTGGGCATAGACGTCAGACGTACTGTTATTCCTTCTTCGCGGAATATGGAGCGGATCGTGGGAAGCGTGCCTTTATAGATGGGACCTTTTATGTTCTGGTGTGAGGATGGGTCGGAGAGGGAGTGGATTTGGAGCTGCAGACGGATTTTGACGACGTCGAGGGGCGCAACACAGAATCTTTTATTTAATTTAATTAGTGTTAGTTGTGAGTCGAGTGGGAGGTTTGTGGTGTTGAAGGATAGGAACGTACCGGGAGACCAGGCCTGCGATCCCACCTGCGAGAACGACTTGTCGTCGCGTGCCCTGTTAATTCATATTGCGCTTTAGTACTAGAATGTAGGAGGAAGGAAGGAAGAGCCAAGACGAATTGATTGACATGGACTTACCTCATCCTTGAGGTGTTCTCCCCCGGCAGACATGCATGTGATTGATGATGGAACACGGGGATCTGGAACGTTTCACACCGGGTAAATGGATGGAAACGATGTTTTTTCGTTTTCGGGTGGAAATTTATTGACCTAGGAAACAATGGGGGTTTATAGGAGTTTAATGGGTTGAATAGTTCATGGGAAATTTTGCGATTAAGTCAGTGATACGTAAAAGAGGTTCTTAGGTAACGAGCAATGCTTTGGATTGGCTCTTTTTTGTTCCTGGTTACTAACAGTTATCGATCGATTGCGATCTATTCTAAGAAATTTGCCCTTCAGAAAAAAATGAAAAGGGAAAATAAAATGACCGGAGGCCATGTTTCATTACCTTATCGATACGGTAGTAAATAACCAGGACGGTATCGATCGTATTGTACGGCAATGTTTGTCTTTTTACTCCGCACTTTTTATGGTTAAAAGGGAAACATCACGCTAATCCTGAAATGGCTTGGTGTCTGGACCTCGGCTTTTCTCAAAACCTTCATATGGGATGATGTTCTCTCCAACATCCCCTCGTTTCTCTTTTTCTTTGTACCTTTCTGCTTTTTGTGCCCCTGGGGGTTGCCATTGACCCATCATGGTTCGTCTGTTGGCAACATTTCTTCGATCCTCTCGGGCTGCTGTGCCCTCAGCTCGCCCTCTCTATTCCCGTGGGTACGCCGTTGCGAGCGGCGCCGCCGAAGATGCTGCTTCCCTCGGACCGAACTCGACAGCAGTCCCCGAAGGGGGCCAACATGATTCTATACGAAGTATAGTAGAAATTCCAACGCCTCAAACTCGCAATAGCCAGCCCTCTGCCCCCTCAATAGGGCGTCAAGGCATCAGAATCCCCACCGGGAAGGGGGATATCTCGGCCTTGCACTATCTACTGCGCGACGGCTGCAAATGCCCCCAGTGCGTGGACCAACACTCGAAGCAACGCAACTTCCGCATGTCCGACATCCCAACGGACATCAAACCGCGCTCCGCAGACTGGGACGGAAGCGTCCTGAAAGTAAAGTGGGAGAACGACATCCCCGGGTACGATGAGTCGCACACCTCCACATACACCCTCAATCAGCTACGAAACCCTTCCGCAAACTACTCCTACCACAGCACCGGCCGGAAGAGAAAGCGTCTGTTGTGGCACAACTGGTTCAAGCACCGCTTTGTCTCCTACGAGGAGTACATGCACGACGACAAAGCGTTCTCCAGCGCCATGCGCAATCTCGCCCAGACGGGTCTCCTCTTCGTCAAGGACGTGCCAGAATCCCGCGCCGAGGTCGAGAAGATCGCGACCCGCATGGGCCCCCTCCGGAATACCTTCTACGGCTCGACGTGGGATGTCCGCACCGTCCCCGAGGCCAAGAACGTCGCCTACACGAGCCAGTTCCTGGGCTTCCACATGGATCTGATGTACATGAATGAGCCGCCGGGATTCCAGCTCCTGCATTGTCTCCAGAACTCCTGCGATGGCGGCGAGTCGTTGTTCGCGGACTCGTTCGCCGTCGCTAGACAGCTTGGCATCGATGACCCGGAGGCTTTCAAGGCCTTGTGCAATCTCCGACTCTCGTACGAGTATAACCATGAAAACGACATTTATACGAATGATTGGCCCGTGTTCCAGACTTATGTGGATGAGTACACGCAGCAGCAAAGGCTGACGCACGCCAATTACTCCCCGCCCTTCCAGGCCCCGATGCACGGGCAGCGCCGTCCGTTCAACCGCACTGTGACGGAGATGCGGGCCTTGGACAAATTTGCCAAGATGTTGGAGGATGAGAGGTATATTTACGAGCTGAAGCTGAACCCGGGCGAGTGTGTTATCTTCGAGAATCGTCGTGTGCTGCACGCCCGGAGACAGTTCAATACCGTTACTGGTCAGCGCTGGCTCGCTGGTGCCTATGTCGATGAGGACGCCGTGTTGTCCAAGTTCGCGACATCGGCCCGTAAATACCCGCACATGTGGCGTGACAGCCCGAACAAACCATATCGGAAAGAGGCCGAGGGAGAGGATCAAGTTCAGAGCAGCTAAACTTCCAAAAAGGAATAGACTATGTAAAGATGAACGAAGAACGTGACGTATTAAGGCATTGGCCGCGAGACTAGTCGTTTGATGCAAAAGGCTTGAATAAATAAGCATAGGAGTATACCGCGGTTCAACGCATGTCAGAGGAGATTAGGTTCACTCCTGTATATAAGCATAGCGTGTTATATATATATATTCATTTGTTTTTTGGAGTCTCTTTTATTATGTTGATGAGTCAAAAGAACTAATCATGCAGGAAGATATTGTGCTGGAACACTGAACATAGAAAACGTAATGGCATCGCTGTCCTATAATCTAACAAATCGTGTTTGCAAGCAGGTAGAAAACAAGACATAAAGAAAACTATTTCCCATATTCTATACGCTCAAGCCGCAGCGGGAGCCTTGTTAACAGAGAAATCACGCAGGAAATCAGGATCATTTTCGATCTCGTCCTTGACCTGTTCACCAATTAGCACAAGAGCCATTCAACGACGAAGACACAGAAAGAGAGAAAGAAAGAAAAGAAGAACTCACAATATCCAAACCTCCAACCAATTCCCCACTAACCCACAACTGCGGGAACGTAGGCCACTCCGCAAACTCCTTCAACCCCTGCCTCACGTCCTCATCGGCCAAGATATTAAAGAACCCATACTTGACACTTCTCTCGCGCAGGATCGCTACAAGCTGCTTACTGAACCCACACTGCGGCGCACTCGGCGTCCCCTTCATAAAGAGCATCACCGGCGCCGCCTTCACCAGCTCCGCGAGTCGCGCAAATAGCGCCTCCTTCGACTGCTCCTGCGTTAGCGCATCCCCGTTCGCAGCGCCGGCCGGCGGCTGTGTAGCCGTCGTGGGGCCCGTCTCGCGGGGCACAGCGGCCAACGGTGGGGGGATTGTGGCGGACGCGCCGGCGGAGGCTTTCGAGCCGGCGTGGCGTTCGACGGCGTCGCGGACGCGGGTGGCTTCGCTGCCGGAGATGGATTCGAGGACTTCGCCGTTGCGGGTAAGGACTACGAAGGGGACGGCAGTGACGTCGTAGTCTTCGGAGATGTCAGGGAGTTCTTCGGCGTTGATGCTGATGAAGGAGGTTGTTGGGGGGGTTGTGGCGGGGTATTGAGATGCGAGGGCGGAGAGCACAGCGCGCATTTGCGCGCAGGGCGCGGCCCAAGGGGCGTGGAAGTAGAGAATCGATAGGGTCGTCGGGGGCAGGGATTTGATGTGAGAGGCGAATTCTTCCTCGGAGGGGATTTCAATTAAGGCTGACATCTTGACTTTTGGATTCTTTGCTGGACTCCTCTCTTTCTGCGGGGTTTTGGGGGCGGGCCTTTGGCTTTGGCTGTGGGTTGGTAGTGGAAATCTCGGGGATTGTAACTTGGTGACGAGTTTCGTTTAAATTTGCGGGTGTTTTGAGATGAGATGGAAGTGGCGAAACCAAAGTCCAAACTTGCGATGCGCTTCACCTCGTTTATAGTAAGTAGTGAGGAGAAGGAAAGAGGGAAGATCGGAGTGAGGCGAAATTTTGGCCGCTTATCAGATCGAAAATCTGCCGGCGTTTGCGATGACTCGCCTTCTGTTTGGCTCCGGTGGGGCTCGCTTCTGATGACACCATCGTTTTGGCCCCGGTCGGGTTTAGTCGGGTTGCTGCCCTATCTTCTTCGTACGCTTCGGCATCTCTCAATATCTCGTCTTCTCGTGCTGTTGAGGTTACCGCGCAGCTCAGGAGGGGATGAAAAGGATTGAGATCTCATACACATATCAAACCTAATTCAGCACCTATCTCTGTCATCCCTAGATCATCCATATGCTTTGTAACTTTGGACTACTATTAAGCCCTCGGGGTACCACCCATGACGAGCAAGAATTTGACAATTATTTAAAGATCGAGATTGATCACACAAAGATTAGTTCTACAATGCATTGTACCGCATAGTTTTAGTATAGCCGACAACAAGCCAAAACTTGACACAAGAATACTTCCTTTGGTATGGCCCTTTCCACCCCCATTGTGAAGAAATTAATGATGATAATTGTTAGGTAATAGTCCTCACCACCCTTTTTTGGAACTGGTCCCAGATTAATCCACTGATGAAACATCCACTGGCGATAGGTCCTAGTAGACTATTGATAATTTTCGTTCTGACCATCTGTCTATTCTAAGACTCGGCCTTCTTGGTAGCCTTAGTCCGGAGTTTCATCATGAGGAACACTAGTCCATAGATACCAACCACAAACACCACGACAATACCGGCATTTCTCCAGCCTAGATACTTTTCTGCGAGGTTCAGTGTGCGAAGGTAATCTCCACCCTCAGTATATTGGCACACGTGACAAGCTGCAGTGGCCTGTGGATTGAGGAGGTTCGCAGCCATCCCTATGCTGCTGCGTTGATACACATCGAGGTACTCACCGCAGGTTTGATTGGGAGCCGGATCAAATACGGCCAATTCATGTGGTGTACAATGAACGGGCTTATCCCATGTGGTAAATACGAGCAGGGAACTCATCAGGTAGTTGAAGGGGTCGATATAGTACATCCTATGTTTTAAAGGCCATTATTAGATCACTGCTCAACTATGGTGGGTCACCATACAACATAAAAGAGCAGATGGCTTACCAGTATCTCCAGAATGGCTCGATTTGGCTGTATGGGATCATAACACCGCAGAACGAGACTAGAGTTGTGATCACGAGAGGGTTGACAAGGGATGCAAATACGGCATTGGGGGTATAAGCGGCGATCATCTGCCCAATTGCCGTGTAGAGGCACTCGTATATTGCCTGAGACACTGTTAGCTCATGTCTAAATAAAGGGTTGGGCATCGTTGGAAGATAGACTGGAGGATTTTACCACAACAAAAAACACACTGCCAGCGTGATATGGTGAGGTAGGAAGGCCGACAGTGAAGTACCAGCAGACATAATACAGCAATGCACAAATAAGCAAGTAGGGGAACTCGGAGACTATAAGGCCTGTGACAAAAGGAGCCCAGTGATACATTTTGCTCTTCTTCTCGCGTGCCTCAAAGATATCCCGACGGTCAATGAAAAGAGGTTGGAGTTGGGAAATGACGCCTGGCGCCACAAAAATAAAATTAAACACAGTAAAGAGATTCTGCTGCAGGTCTGTAAGTGAGTCTCCAATCATCCAGAAAGTAAAGCCGTTTAACAGCGCTAGACTTATATGCATGGCGAACTTGTTGTTGAGGTATTCGGTGTTGCGGAAGAGTGAGATATTCATGCGATGCGTCACAAGCTTAGTTTGTGTCCACAGTGAAGCCGCAAACTCATACTGGTCATCATTGACTGTTGTGGTTCGGTCAAGAGCCTCTGCAACCATGTTATCCAGTTCTTCGGAGAGCTGTCTATGTTCTGGTGACTGTAACCAGATCTGATTCCAATCTTGACCCTCGCCGTTCTCTGAAACAACATCTATCATGTGCTCAGCGGGATTAGCCTCAGGCGGGCAAGGGGATCCATAACGACCGAAGTATTCCTTCACGGTGCTCGCATTCTGGCCAATAGCTCCGAAATATACCGTTTTGCCGCCTGCAGTCAACAACAGTAGCTTATCAAATTGCGTAAATAATTGAGCTGATGGTTGATGTATAGTCACCAAGACAGCTTGCCCAGCTTCTGCAAGTTTGCGAAGAAAACGAACAGTATTATAGGCAGACTGACCATCTAATCCTGACGTGGGCTCATCAAGGAAGATTAGAATACTTGGTTTGGCTACCAATTCAACAGCAATAGTAAGCCGCTTGCGTTGTTCCACTGAGAGACCAGTTCCTGGGGAACCAATAAGCGTATGTTCAAGGTCATTCAGCTCTAGCAAGTCGACGATTGTATCGACATATCGCAATTTTTCTTCAGTGGGTATATCGCGAGACTGGCGTAGGAGAGCTGAGAACTCAAGGGCCTCACGGACAGTCGCTAAAGGTTCGTGGATATCTAACTGTTCAACATAACCGGCTGAACGTTGGAATGAGATCGGAAGAGGCCGTCCATCAACTAGAATGGACCCGTGGATAGTACCTGAAGTTTTACGTTGTGCGAGAACGTCAAGTAGTGTCGTCTTGCCAGCACCAGATGTGCCCATTAGAGCCCCAAGCATACCCGGTTTGACATAACCTTGAACGTTATCAAGAAGGATGCGATCACCGTCAGGGGTTTTAACAGTATATGTCAAATCTTTCCAGGTAAAGATGGCTTTATTACGGAGAAGATTATTGTCAGTAATTTCTGTTGATGTATCAGACCTGGAGTTGACAGTGGACTTGCTATCTCGCGCTTCCTCATCTCCAGACTGCAAAAGATGCCTCGATCTGTGCTGTTGCTCACGAGGAATAAGGAGCCTGCGGCTACTTTCTCCAAGCAATTTCCACCTAGAGGTAAAGACAATGGTGAGACCAACATAGAGCACCCACCAGGCGCAAATAATGCCGACGTTGCGCCATATGTGGTCATGGCTGAATGACATGGCTGCGAGATAATCATCGCCTGTAAGGCTCGCTGCACCGGGTGCTGCGCCAACAACACCAGAACACGATTGGCCACCTTCCCCATCAATGTAGTAGCCGAGGCCACTGGGAATAAGGTTGGGGCCATAACACGGTATGTTCTGGTCGTGAAATTCATTTCCAAGAAGAGCTTCGAAAGCATATGCCATGGGGTTAATCCAAAAGATCCACACAAACCACGGATGCATCAGGGGCTTGATAATCATGTATCCCATGTAAACAAATAACGCTACAATCGAAAGGCCGGAGACCTTTGTCGCAGCGTCAAAGGTAGGAAATGCGGCGCCAACGAGTCGGAAAAAGGCCGTCATGGACATCGCAGTGACAAAGTTAGTGAACAAGTAAGTGAAAAAGGCCCCAGCCGAGGTCTTCAGACCAACCATGAAATACAGAACAAGACCAAAATGTGTTACTTGGAATAGAAGTATAGGAAAGTCTGCGACTATTTGGGCAATACAAATAGCCGCTGGGTGGTACAGGGCAAAGGAGCGGTGCTTTGCTAAAACAGGTCTGCCAGTGAATGAGTCGGTAACCTCTGATAGAGCTATAAGAGCGTTGTATAGAATAGAGAAGAACAAAGCACCACCCTTTAGGAAAAGGCCGGTCGAATTGTTGGGAGCAGAATAGAACAGAGAGCCACCGAGCAGAGCTTGAATGAGTGTAGCGCCCTGTTTCATAAATAGTGTCTCCTTATCGCCTCGTTTCAGCTGGTACTCTCTGCAGATGGCGGCCTTGACCTGGGTGATGAAATCAGCAGTGACAGGAGACTTCTTGGATGCGCCCCTGTGCTTCTCACGAGACACCATTTCCTTAAAGACAGTTGTGTTTTCAGCGGCTTCCTTGCTATTTGGGTAGATTTGGCACTCTTCCAGCATTCTCATTTTGACTTCCGATCGCTCGTATGCAGCGAGGATCTCATCGGCGGTATGTGCGAACTTGTCTTCATATCCAGGGGCAATACGGCGCTCGGTAGGAACTGTTACGCCCGTCAGGAAATCTCCTTGGTTAGAACCTGGGTCCCGCATAAAACCCAGGCCCTCCATGAATGGGACCGCGTCTTTCCGCAGTCCGTAGAATATTTGCTTGCCCTCATCGAGAACAAGGACCTTATCGAAATGCTCATAGATGCCGTTACCTGCCTGATAGAGTGTGACCAGAGTAGTAAGGCCGAGGACATCGGTCATTACTCTGATTGCCTTAATCCACTCGAGTGCTGTACTAGCATCGAGACCTCTGGTGGAGTTATCCCAGCAGAATACACTCGCACGAGTAGTTAGGCATTCAAGAATAGACACCCGTTTCCGCTCACCTCCTGAGACCCCTCTGATGAAAGCGTCTCCGACCTTTGTTCGTTTGGTATGAGATATTCCGACAGATCGAAGAAGAAAATCTTTATAGAACAGAACATATTCTTCATGAGTTGTGATTCCAGGTGGCAGTTGATAGGGAACCTTCATGCGAGTGGCGAAGTTGATGGTATCTTCGACAGTTAAGGTAGGAAAGAAAATTTCCTCCTCTGAGTTCATGATGATATGGCCCCGGTACTGTTTGGCTTCCACGGCGGACATATTACCATAGCTGACATCTCCAGTGACTTCCTCGTAACCTCGTCGATTGTTGGCAAGGACGCTCAGCAATGTCGTGCAGCCAGCCCCGGGGCGTCCCAGCACGAGCAGCATCTCTCCTGGCTTAACACATCCGTATGAGTCTTGAATGATTGTCTTCAGTTGAGCATCATTGCTACCCCCGTGGAAGGGGAAAAGTTGGGAGACAACGTTTTCCTTGAATGCAGCATTACCGCCAACGCCTTTGACAGTGAGGTTTTGCCAGGCGACGCCCAGCTTTCGTGGCTTCTCTCCGCCGGCTTCGTCTCGTTCTCTCATTTTGTGCAGCTCTGGTGCCATGTGCCAGGTCGACTGGACATGTTGAATGGATTCCTTTTCTGTCTCATCCTCGGTATCTTTTGATTCGCTCGCGATGGTACGCCTTGTGTCGCTAGTTGGTGAACTGGGGTTCATTTCGAAGATTGAGAAAATGTGATTAGAGAAACGGGGTTTGGTGGTGCGAAAGAGACTTAACGCGGCTGGGAGGCTTGATAGATGTATGTGTATCTATATATACACCAACCAAATGAACATAGCTCATCAATCGCCTAGCCTACGCTTCATTACTAGTTCTAGATCTCATTGCGTGCACTGTCGTAGCCTGGCTACCTGGTTATACAATATGGGAAACCCTCCTGAGTCGGAAGGTAAACGAAACAGTGCCCGATTTCTTATCATGAACCCTCCGGATAAGTGAGTAAAGACGACTTTCTCAGTTCTATGTAACCAATGGCCAAGTCAGTCTCATACCCCATCGGCTGCTGTCCCGAGCTTAAGCTAGGGATATACCCAGAACTGTACATGGCTGAACGGAATGATTATTAAACATCAGATATCACACCAGTATGGATTTGTGGCGTTGGAATCATGGGTCACAGTGGATGGCTCTAACTTAATTTCAATTCTATGAATACCAGGCACTAAGTAATGGGTCGGACACTTTCTGATTTATAAGCTTCACAATAGGCTTGGGCCTTTTAACTACTGGTTTCAAAAACCCTCCGCGGAGCATTAAACGCGCTCCTTCCCCCGGCGTCGGCCCTCCCGGCGTCTCTTCTCCATCCGCGCCATCTTGACAACCCTCGGCATCGCGAGCCCTCCGTATTAGCGTAGTATGGCTCTCGACCACATTCATCCATCCCAGACGCGCTTTTCCTGTGAGCTCTGCAGGAGGCAAAAAGCAAAATGCCAACGCATACGACGAAACGATCCGAAATGCGCACGTTGTACGATTCTTCGTGTAGAATGTACTCCCGGGCAACAGAGGAAAGTCGGCAGACCGAAACAAAGGGCAGATTCCAGCAAAGGTGTTTCTACGATTCCAGGTTCTGAGTCCAGCTCAATCATCAAACAACCTTTGCACCGACGGCTCAATCGACAGAAGCAGCAGATTGCGCGAAACACTCTAGGCACAACTCGAGATTTGCCACCTTTCATGAATGGTCCAACACCAATGCTGATAACAGCGGCGCCCAATACATTCATTCCGCCACCGGCTTGGCCAACAGTTGGAATAGTTCAAATGCACCAGAACACGCCTACATGGAACTTTACAAACATTATAAATGATGACTTTCCCTTGGCTAACTTCGACTCGACCTTCGGCTTCGCAACTGCACATGCTCCCTCACTCGACAAGGCCGCTAACGAAATCCCCTACGCCTCGGCGACCCCTGTGATACCAGGACTCGAAGGAGCAGGAGACAACATCGAGACTTCAGAGACTCTAGCCACGCTTTCTAAGATCAACCTCGAATTGCACGTTCGTGTCGCGGCTGCCGAAATAAACAAAACGATCCTAGACTTTAATAGCCTTATCTACCAAAATAGCCCATTGTTTATCGACAAATACACACTAGCTGTGTTCACACTCAAGGCATCACAAGACTTTGTGCAGATACTGATGCAGCTTCTTAACAGCAGGCAATGCCATGAGCTACCGTCTACCTCGCAGAAGCCAGGCAGCCTCTACCCGGAGTCGATGACGCTGCAATTGCAACCCTACTTGGATAATGTCCTCGATTCTAACCCAACCTCTTCTCCACCCTACTTCTCTGCAGCATTGCAGCCAATGTTAGCTCCACTCTCTTTGACCATCATAAGCATCTTCACGCAGCTGATTTCGGTCTACGGGTTATTTCTTGAGCACTTCTCTACGCGCATCGAGCGGTTCTCCACTGATCCCATCGCCCCTATCCCAGGTATTATGTTTGGAGGGTTACCCCTAGATACCCCATGCATGCAGGGCATGCTCTTCTTCAACGGCGTCATTCATCTCCTGGAAACCATGGAGTGGGCACTAGGCATCAGCGAGCGTGAAGATGGCACAGTGGGCTTGCTGTCAGATCGACAGGTCGAGATACTTTGGCGTGAGCTAGATGGGGGACTTGCCATCACGCCTGGTGGTGGCACCATGCGGCCCGCTGATGTGAGGAAGCTGCTTGGGAAAATGGCCATGATACTGAATCGACTTTCTGTGGTACATCAACCGCAACATGTATAATCCTGCGGCACAGTAGCCATCAGGACGTTTAAATGCCTTATTCGTAAGCGTCATTTGGAGCAGGATTGATTCCATCGGCACGTCTATACGCCATTTGTGCATTTTAGCATTCCTGACTTGAGATATGGTGATTAATAAACACACCACTTGGCTCGCCAATTGATTACTAGAGGTTTGATTACTGATCAAGTTTTCTACGAACGCTTCATGGCCCGTCCGGCCTTAGTAAATTAAGAGGCAATCAATCAATCAATCCAATGTAGATAGCCATGATGTAACTAGCCAAAGTTAATAACCTATAGGCCAATGGATACCTATTCTGAAATTTGCGGACTCGGGATGTTCAGTAATCTCTCGAATTAGGGTTAGCGTGATGTAGAGTGGGTGAGTGGGTACCGGATGCCTAACCGACGGGGAGACAACCCCCAAGAGGAACACAGTGTTTGGCGCAGGTCCAGCACTTCCGCCCTCAGCGTCTTTATATTATCCTTCTGCTAATTGTGCTTCTAGTAATCGTACTGCTTCCTAGGTAGTCACGGAGATCAACCTTAATCTTCCAAAACCTTTACGCGTCCTCTTACAAGTACTTCAGATATATAGACCTCGTGTGTCTTAGTAGGCAGTACTCTGTAGTAAGACCCAATATTGATAAATTAATCCTCCCGGGGTATCTCACTATACCCATTACAATGGCACCCACCTATCCAATGTTCAAGGGCATATCCTTAAGAGAACCCACCAATTATTATTACCAAGACTGGCGGGTCTGTCGTTATGATTGTTATTAAATGGTTGATTATTAGGCTACGATTTGCTTTCTGTAATGAGAGTATCTTATGTTACTGCCCCCAATGCAATGAAAGCTACAAAGGCCAGTAGAATTGACGGGGAAACTACAGCTATGTAATTACAGGATCTTAACCAGATTGCAACGTTTACTATACGCGGATATATCGGGCTATTAAGATACTTCTGAGTTCGTCGAAACTTACTGGTTTACAAGTGCAAGTTACTTTAGTTTATCTTTTGTATTTATATGTATTCCTCTGCTACTGAGTTGATAAAATAATACTACTATAAAACTGAAAAGTAGAATATACTTAGATTGATAGCTTTGAGGAAAACGCCAATCAGCATAGTAATCAATCCTACGCAAGTCGGAGTCTATATTCGAAACAGACTGAAGGACATGACTGAAAAGCAGGCTGTGGAGATAGCTAAGTAGTATACTGGTGTCCATATCAAGGGGGTTGTCTAAAAGAATATGTCGTTCATTGACTTTCTTTATGAGTACAAGTACTATCTGGTCGATTAAACACATACTACAAAGTCTACAATGCATAACTGCATGATTTCTATGTCTGAGTCATCAATGCATATCAATATACTATCAGCACGTGATGCAAAAAGTCGATTGATAAATCCGATCCGGGAGTTTATCAAGCTTTAAAAAGACCGATCATAGTCCGGGCCATTATTTGGCCAAGGTAATCCAAAACTTTACCAAAAGGAACGACATCGTTGATTAGAGCTTCTGCATAATTGGCCTGCTCGCAACGAACATTGAAAATCGATATCCCTTCCCCGCTAGCGGTCACAACATGGCCGGGATGAAGAAGCGCAAGCGCACGGAGACCGGTTACTCAGACGACGAACCCCCGGTCAATGACACGTCAAATGCCAGTAATGGCTTCGGCGTAGCGCAAACATTGTCTCTCCTACGTGGCTCCAAGCCTTCCGAGGAAAGTGAACTTCCTACAGCTATGCAGTCGGAAAATACAACAAAGGACAAGGTCGATACACCGGCACAGAGACCCTCGAAGAAGAAGCGGGTGGACGGAGAGAAGACGAAATATCCAGTTCTTACCTACGTCGATGGGCGACTACAATCCTCTATTCGGATCGCAGACTTGCAGAGCCTCTTGCTTTACTGTTTCGCGGACGGCATCGCACCGCAGTGGATTTCCATCAAGCACTCCGGCCATGTTAGGAAGGTCGTAGCATTGATGGTGCCGGGTCTAGAGATTGGCATGTTTGATGGGACAGTTCCGTTGCAACCACCTGCGGAGGATGTGTCAGGCTCGCAAACGAATCAGAATGACACTGCAGGTGCAGAGGGGCAAGAAGAGGATCCTAAAACGGCCGAGTTTAATCGTTGGAAGCAAGGGCTGCCTCTCGAAGACCGATCTCATCGGTTTAACCCGCGCCCGTTGTCGCGCGATGAACTTCCAGATTCATTACAGCCGCTGGCAGACATGTTTCCTCATGTTTGGCCGGTTAGAGCTCCCGGGGATTCGAAGTATAACAAAGTTCATTCGCCGCTCCAAGCAATTTTGTTGTCCGCTCTTCCCAAGAACAAGGAGGATAATCAAAAGAAGGGCCCCAAACAGGCACGGATGGATAAGAGTTTCGTTCCCAAGCGGACTCCGATAACGGCATTCATCAGTTCCCTCGAGGATCTCCGTGAAAACGAGTATGCTCTGCATCCGGCACTCTTCACAACAGACAATGAGAAGTCTGATTTGATGCAAAGCCGCAAACGAGCCGGCCAGGATGCTGGGGCCGGGTGGGTCGATACCCATGTCACAAACTTGGAGGAAGGTGATGTTCCCGAGACTGAGGTCCAACAGGGAAGCATGACAGCAGGGCGTACTGTACTAGCCCTCGATTGTGAGATGTGCATAACGGAAGGCGGAAAATCCGAGCTCACGCGTATAAGCTTGGTCGGCTGGGACGGCGAAGTCGTACTAGATGAGCTCGTGAAGCCGCAGTTACCGGTCATTGACTACCTTACCCGGTTTTCAGGGATTACTAAAGAAATGTTGGATCCTGTCACGACTACCCTGACCGATATCCAGCAGAAACTCCTCACTATCCTAACTCCGCACACTATACTGGTCGGCCATTCACTGAATTCGGATTTAAACGCTCTCAAACTCACTCACCCTTTTATTGTCGACACCACATTCATTTATCCACACCCTCGTGGGCCACCTCTTAAGTGTAGCCTGAAGTGGCTTACTCAGAAGTATCTCGGAAAGGAAATTCAAAAGGGCCAGACTGGTCATGACTCCATCGAAGATGCTCGCGCCGTGCTTGAGCTGGTGAAACAAAAGTGTGAGAAGGGCGAGCGTTGGGGAACAAGTGATGCCCAGAATGAAAGCATTTTCAAGCGTCTGGCACGTTCTACACGGTCAGGCAAATCAAACCCGACAGGGGAGGGCCGTACTGGAGCCGTGGTTGACTGGGGAAGCCCCGAGCGTGGATTTGGATCGCAGGCGACCGTCGCAATCGGGTGCAGCGATGACGAGGATGTTGTGAAAGGAATATCATCCGCTGTAAACGGAGATGACAGCAACGCTTCAGTTCCAGGTGGAGGAGTAGATTTTACCTGGGCACGGATGCGAGAGCTGGAAATGTATCGAGGCTGGTGCAATCGTATGCCAGACCCCAATAACGCTAATGAGTCCACGACACTTGTACCTCCCCCCGAAGAAACCACGCCGACTGGCCCTCCTACGTCCGCACCTTCGGAGACTCCCGAGAAGAGTCTCGTCGATACAGTATCTCGTACAGTCTCTCATATCCAACGTGTCTATGAGTCTCTTCCACCGTGTACTTTGTTTATTGTGTACTCGGGTACTGGCGACCCGCGCGAGGTCAGCCGGCTACAGGCCATGCACAAGCGCTTCCGGGAAGAGTACAATGCTAAGAAGCCATGGGACGAACTGACCGTCAAATGGACAGATACTGAGGAACAAGCCCTGAAGAGGGCTTGTGAGAGAGCTCGAGAAGGCTGTGGTTTCATGTGTGTGAAATAGATATTGGTTTGAATATATTGTGGGCTATTGATCTAGCGTGGATATCCTTGTATAACATGAAGTTGAGAAGATACAAACAATTAAAGAAAATAATTTTTTGAATAGTATTGAGATATCCAGATCCCAGGAAGACCAATCTAACCCGGCCACTGCTCCACTGCTCCGTGTACTCGTGAAGAACCGACTTTTTTTTTTATACACCATCACATAATCCCGGAGTTCAAAAGTTCAAGACAAAAGGGAAAACAGCGAGTGAACGACTAAGACGGAAATGGTTAGAAGGAAGTAAATAAATGAATAATACATGAATAGAATATCAGTCTAGCTTTGAATCAGCGGGCCTCCGTTTCCATGGCCTCTTCACGCTGCATGGCTAAGCGTGCCATAATATCGCGGGCGGCAACCTGTGCCTTTCGTTTCTCTTGCGCTTCACGCTGATTCCCATCATCAGTATGAGCACCATTTGTCTTTCCAGGCGGGTTTTCCTTCCCTGACCCTGTCTCTTGATCAAAAGACACTGAATCTTCTGGGCCATGCGGGGTTTCCTTTTGACTACCCGCCGATGTATGTGTCTGGTCTTGCTCAGAGAAACTATTATTAGGACCGGTTGAATGTCGGGTTGGCGGCCGCGACCGACTGCGCAAGCTTCGGGGACGACCCGGGCGTGTTTCAGTTCCATTTTGGCGTTGGCTGGGACTGGTGCTGGAGGGTGCATTCTCTTTTTGACCATTGCTACTGACGTTGGGGTTTTGCTCACTTAAAGGTGTTGGCCTCGGGGTCTGAGTCTGGAAAAGATCCGGCTTTGTAGCCTGGCTTATGGATTTGCGTGGCCGCCCTGGCCTTCTTTTATCCGACTCCCCGCTGGGTGGTGGCTTCTCGGAAGCCTGAGACATACGGGGGCGTTTGGACATAGTCTGTTGCTCTACGCTGGGGTGGATTTCGGGAGTCCCCCATTGAGGACTTTGATGTCTTGCTGGATTGATTTCCACTCGGATATTCGAAGACCCTGGCGCTGTTGGCTCGCGCGGTGTGTCCATCATTGCGTCCATCTCGGGCCCCTTTAATGGGATCTTGACTGGGGGCATATGTGGGTCTTCCAGAGAGAAGTCAATGCTATCTTCCTCATCGCCATCATCGAATGAGTCGGCGATTGCTTGTGTGCGGCCGCTGGGCCAGGAGTCCGGCCATGGCCGCTTCCTGCCTGCTTGGAGCAATCCCGGGCTGCGGACTTCTGGGAGTGGGCCGGGTAAAGATAGGGTTGAGGGTTGCTGTTGCTGTTGATGTCTTGCGTTCTGTTCTTCCACGTAACGGTTTTTGAGCTTCAATGCCTCAATCTCTAGTTTTAGCTTTTCGATCTCTTCTGACTTGGCTTTCAGTTCCTTTAGGACTGTCGTGATCATGTTGAAGTCATTGTCCATGGTGTTTCCTAGATCGGGGAGGCGTCCGGGGTTATTCAGTTCGATACGGAGCGCTGTGAATGCGCCTTTCAGCTCGGACATGGTGTCGTGTAGGTTGCTCACGGAACTTGAGATATGATCGAGGCTCAGTCCATGGTGTTGAATTTGCTGCTCCACGGATGTAGCAGTGTAATGGTCCATCTCGGATGAACCGACTGGTACTAAAGCTCCGGGCTGGATAGACGTCCGATCTCGTCTGGTCGATTCCTTCTGAGGCGGGTGGATCAGGCGCTCGAGTAGTCCATCTTTGAACACAGGTTCTACCGTGCGCATGGACACGATTTCCCTAAATGAGACCTTCGATAGCTTCCAGAAGACATTAGGGCTTGGCATCGTTAGTCTCCATGCATGCGCCGGTGATCTCTCTTGTTCATTCGGTGTTACTCCGACTTACCCATTATCGAGCGAGCACAACACGCCTAGCTTCTGCTGGCAGAGCTTGCAGGAGATCTCTTGCAGGATGCGTCCGCGGAGTATACTCAGGTCTGATGATTGCGGTACTTGTTTCTTTTCGGGCGAGATTGAGATGCGGTGGAGTTCGACGCTCAGCCATCCTGCTGCGACGGAATAAGAGTTGGAAAGCTTGGCCCATTCATTCTCCAGAGCGGCCAGGGAGCTCGAACAGCGCAAACACTGGCACAGGATGGCCGGACGGGCCAATTTCGATAAATCCATGGCGAAAAGGGATCCCAAAACCCACAAAATGGCGTCCGATGTGCCGTACGCCACCTGCAAAAGGGTTGGAGGGACTATGCGAGGACGTTGAAAGCCTCTCCCACGCTGCAAAAGTCCAGAGGGATCTCGACTGCTGACTCAGCCACAACCGGGGACACGTCGGCGGGTCAGCTATTCCTGTTCGGGTTATCGATAAGAACCACACGCGTTTCAAAGTGTCGTCATTCTAAAACGCTTATTACTCCATTGAATTTTAATTACCCCGGCATGTTGTCCGACTTGGTATTCGTTTTACCGTATGGTGTTCGTACGCGGTATTTCTTCCGACCGTCCCCGCATGCATGCACTGGTGTCTCGGAATGCCTCCAATTCGGTAACAGGTAGTACCGACCAAGTCATTGTCGCGCCCCTCCTTCATTGTACGCTTTGTGGATTGTCAGCGGGAACCGGACTTGATGAGGCCATTCTTTCGCTCGCTCCTTCGGCCACCACCTTTGCTTCGGTCGGCATCATCTGTTCAAAGGGTCGCATACGGTCAAAGATTCATTATGGCGAGCTTATCGACAGCTTCAAATAACAAGGCCAACACCTGGCAAGGTGCTGGGGCGGCGGAGTTTGACCTGAGGAGTAAGATTATGTCAATTATATATCTTTGACAAATATGCTAAAATATAGCGAACAAAAAGGCGACACAATGACCAAACCGACCATGTCAATGCTCGAAGCCATCACTCAAACAACACTCCTTGACGATGTCTTCTGTGAGGACCCGGTAACAAACGACCTCCAGGCCTATGTAGCCCAACGCACCAACCATGAAGATGCCTTGCTCGTGATGTCCGGAACAATGGGTAACCAGGTTGCCATTCGAACTCACCTCGTGCAGCCGCCTTATTCTGTGATATGTGATCGCCGATCTCATATCGTCTGCCACGAGGCGGGTGGGGTCAGCTCGTTGACCGGTGCGACGGTCCAACCCATCGATCCCAAGAACGGTAGCCATCTCACCCTGGAGGATATCCAGAAATATGCGGTGCTTGACGACGATATCCACCACTGTCCCACGAAGCTGATCAGTTTGGAAAACACCTTAGACGGCAGGGTTTTGCCGCTCACGGAGGCTCGTAGGATTACAGAATGGGCGCATGCAAACGGGATCAAGGTGCATTTGGACGGGGCGAGGCTCTGGGAAGCGGTGGTGTCCGGGGCCGGTAGCTTACCGGAGTACGCTAGTTTGTTTGACAGCGTGAGCTTGTGTTTCTCCAAGGGACTTGGGGCGCCTATTGGTAGTATTATTGTTGGATCCAGGGAGTTTATTAAGAAGGCTAGGTGGTTCCGCAAAGCTATTGGAGGTGGTGTCCGACAAGCAGGGGTACTCGCTGCCGCAGCCCGGGTGGCTCTCGACGAGACCTTTGGCACAGGCCCCCATGGTCAGGGAGGGAAGCTCCGGGAAACGCATACTAAAGCAAAGAAAGTCGCGGATATATGGCAAAACCTCGGCGGCAAGCTGTCACAGCCAGTAGAGACTAACATGGTGTGGCTGGACCTTGACGCAGCCGGGCTGGGACCCAATGACTTGGGGGAAATAGGGAAGGAAAAGGGGCTGAAGCTGTTGGGCAATCGGATTGTCATTCACTACCGTACGTACCCCTCATTCTACGGGTTGCTTAGGATTATCCTTGCAGCGGACACTGACTCAATCCCAGAGGTATCGGAGGAGGCCATTGAGCGTCTGGGCGAGGTGTTTGGTTTGGCTATGAGTGGGAACTACCAACGTAGCACGGATCAAAGCTTACCGTACGGTAGCAGGTAAAAACCCTAAGAATGTCCAAATGTAATGATCTCAACGGGTAGTACACGAGTGAATAGTACTAATATAGCTCATTTCCTCCTGTGGGCATCCACTCCTTTTAGAGGGGGGATTATGTGATTAGTAATCACACTCCGATCTAACTACAGCAGTTGCTTCGAGCTACTCGAGTTATTGCAAATAATTTGTCGAAAAGCTGTGAAGAAGGTATAGGATTACGATAAACATGACTTGGAAGGGCATAATTAACAGCTTATTTTTTTCGGTCTCATTCCTTTAACAGGGTAATGAAGGATATATATATTAATAAAGATTGGGATTGTGATTACTGTAACTTCACAATATTAAACAATCATCGACTCCCCGACTCAAGATCCGCTCGTTCTCCAGACTCCAACAGTAGCATCATTTGATAGGATGACTGTGCCCTTTCTTCTACCTGAAAGAGTATTAGGCTACATGCGGTGGATAAAGAAAGCATGTACTCGTCTCCTAGTATAACAACATAGAGGACAACTTAATATCGTCCTTCTTTGCGATAAACCATGCTGCATGGCTCGACTATCATTTTAAGTTGAGTTTTCTAACTAGTCATTCAACGGTGAATAGCAAATCTGGACGGAGCATACATGCAGCTACTAGTAGTCGCGCAACCATCTCATACTGGGCACTTTTCGCCAATCATCTTTCAATGATCAACTACATTCAGCCCATCCTTCCAGAAGGTAAAAAATGGAGTCACGCCATCGGAGCGGTAGTTGAGAAGAGCAACCATAGCCTCTCCGTTCATATTCATTCCAGTGTAAAATTCAAATGTTCTGAAATTGGCGACGATTTTTTTTCGCATACTGGGAGAAGCCTTGTTCAAACGCGTGGACCCTGTCAGGGTTTGTGTCTTTAAGATGTCTCTTGATAGACTGCACGTAGTCTGTGGCGCTGTTAGTAATTCGCAGCAGCACTGATAATGTGGACATACTCTTTAAATGCATTAAATACGACTTTTTGTCGAAGGTGGTTGGTTGTAGACGAAACGTATGCACGAGATTATTGACAATGCGGATGTTATCTTCCAGCGCCTCCTCCTGTTCAGTGCCAATCTCTAGATACTGCGTTAAATGTCTCTTTCTAAGGATATAAAGATGAATACGCACCAGTGTCTCCGGTCACTTGTATAAGTACGCAGTTTACTTCATAGACAATATCGTCGACTACTTTTATAGGGAATGAGTCCGAAAACATCTCGTCATTGGAGATGACATCCTCCACGGTATTGGTTAGTGAGTCTCATAGAGTCGAACCTGGGTTAAACTTACAATAAAGAGGCTCATGATGAAAAAAGCGTAGAGAGTTTCGGTGGAGTGAACAACGGGGATTCGGGAAGAATATTGTACGGTGGTCTGCAAAACAGAGCATGTACTGTCCAAGAGCTTAAGAAGAAGAATAAAAAACTGCGGGGGCATACTGGGATCTGAGGCCTTGTTGCCCCTCCACTCAAATCAGCAAGATCGACGCTCCGATCGGATAGTACTATCCAATTAGGGCAGACTCTCTATCTCCATAGTATCCATCAGGGATAGTAGCTCGGCAACAACTAGATCGCATTGACTCATTCATAAACCCCAGCTACCTTGCCTCTTTCTGCAACACAGAAATGACTACCTGTTCCATTTAATTTTTGATTTTATAGAGAATAAGTATGACATCCATTAGTTCAGCGCTCACAGTCGAACAGGTTGACGCCTACTTCGAGCGCATCCAATTACCGAAAGCATACCGTCGCGATCAGCATCCCGCATTGGATCTCTCTTTCTTGTCCAGGCTTCAAGGCTATCATGTTACAGCAATCCCTTATGAAAACTTATCCCTTCATTATGCTAAGGACGTGAAGGTTTCACTGGATGTAGCAGAGCTACACAAAAAGCTTGTCCTTAGACGTCGCGGTGGTTACTGTATGGAAAACAATATATTGTTCCACCATGTCCTTCTGTTTCTAGGATTTGAGGGCTACCTCGCCGGTGCACGGCTCTTTCGAGTTGGAGACGGGAAATCAGCGGGCTGGTCCGGCTGGTGAGTTCTTGAAATTTACCTGTGTTTGGGTATATATTGATAAGGTTCAAGGGAGCATTCTGTGAATATCGTCACCCTCGACCAGCAAAAATACCTGGTCGACGTGGGATATGGAGGGAATGGTCCTAGATCTCCTTTACCATTGGTCAAGGGATCTATTCATAAGAATATTGGAACCCAGACTATGCGGCTGGTGTACGAACCTCTACCCGGGTCTCGCCAACGCCAGTGGATTTATCAGACCCGCAACGCGGAAGACCAGCCGTGGATACATAACTATACTTTCACAGAAATAGAATTCTTCCAGCGTGATTTCGAAGTAATGAGTTTCTTCACAAGTTGCCACTCAGACTGCTTCCTCACGACACATTTGTTGGTGGTTAAGTATCTTCGTGAAGGAGATGAGGTCTACGGGAAGATTGTCTTGGATGATGACAAAGTCAAGAAGAATCAAGGTGGGAAGAACGTGCTGGTCCAAATGTGCATGACCGAGAGGGAACGAGTTAAGGCTTTGAAGGATCAGTTTGGGATTGAGCTGACCGAGGAAGAACAAAAAGGGATCCAAGGAAGGATGTCGGCACTGGCGATTCGCGATTGTTGAAAGATAGTCACATAGAGATATAGGTATTATATGAAGATAGGTTCAGAATGTCATCTATTTCAATAGAGTATAATCCTTGAGGACATACTGATTTCCAACTCCTATAGCAACTTACTAAGCAAAGAGTAGCAGTTAACTATGCAAATAGAAAGGATAAGACCTAAGTTTTCCACAGATGTAATCGATATGTGAGAGTGAATCATATCTCGGGTTGATAGATCCAAAATCCCCACTTCGGCATCCACGGTTGGTTCCCGTCCAATATCCCCACCATGCGTCTCTATTGGCTGGAAGTGCTCTGTCCGCCTCAGGCAGCTGAGGCCTTGGTGCCTGGGCAGCGACTTCTTGATGCCTGGGGCCTCTTCCGCTCTTCAAATAAATTGCGGGATATTCACTTCAGCCTCACTGCTTGTTTCGAGGACGACGACCCTACCAAGACAGCTTTCTGTCGCGTCCCTGTTGCCGGATCGCCCCATTAAACTAAGACCATTGTCGCAGCCACGCTCTGGATTGTGCAGTGGATGGTGGATGGGGACTTCGTCAACTGTGTAAGTTTTCGAGTCCTGTCGCTCCTCGTTGATCAAGAGCTCCCGACTAATGCTATCAACTGTTTCACAGACATAGCCCTTGCCCTCCTTTTGATCCAAAGCCCGAACTTCCATTTGTCATTCCTTTGTTTAATGAACCCGGCCCATAACATCGTGTGCGAGCTTGCTTGTGGTTGACTATTTGGCCGGCAAGGTCGGGGTCTCCCTACCTACGAATTTACCTTCCCATTACCCGTTGTCATCGAGGTACTACGCGTTATAGGAATATAATATTACCTCAAAAGCTTGGTGGATTTTTCTGGTGCCTTTTTGGCTCAGTACAGGCAACTCCTAGTCCTAGTATCAAGTCCGTGCACATAGTTTAACCTCCCCCAGTGGAAAGCTAGGGGGTCCATTGAAGCGCACCTGTTATTGGTGTTCATTTTTCGTTGGTTTTGCATAAGGTAAGGAAGCTCCAGGTTCTTCCAATAGCCAAGACTATCTCATGCAACATTATGAGCTATGAAAAACTGACTCTCCAATAGGTTCATGGAATGGAGCCGTGTTAATGATTGTATTAGTTCTGCGAACATCTTTTCATATTCACGCATCAACACATATACCTGAAATTATCAACTTTGTGACAGTAGTTCTCTCTTCTTTTGCAGCGTCAGGCGACTTCTCGCCGGACTTTACCACCTCCCACACCAAATGGAAGCGACCCAAGAGTCCACCCAGCCATGCACGGACCCCCGCCGCATGGGCTACAACAACTCTGGTCTCCATGAGCAGGACGTGTCGGACATAATATGTATCTTGCACCCCAGTTCGCCTGCTGCCCACCATGCGGTGGCCGCCTCTGCCGGTTCTGCGCCCCAACATATCCTTCAGCGAGATGAGCTAGCGTTCGAAACTTCAGCAGCGTTGGACATTGGGCTTAGGCTGTCTTCGAAAGTGCACGATCTGAATACTGGCTTTTGCTTCGGACGCAACAGAGCTCGTTGCGATCTTCTCCTTGCCCGTGACCAAAATTCGAAACGCATCTCAAACCAGCACTTCCGCATCTACCTCACCGAAGACGGAATCATTATGCTCGAGGACATTTCCACCAATGGCACCATTGTAGACAACTGCCGTCTTCGCAAGAGCCAGAGAGAGAATAGTCGAATGCTGACCAACGGCTCTGTCATTCAAGTGATGAATGGTGACCAAACCTCAGATGAAGTTAGGTTCGTCGTCCGTATTCCGAACCGAGAAGGATTCTCTATGCAATATACGGAGAATTTGCTACGCTATTTTGAGCGGATACAGAAGCACCGGGCAGGAACCACGCAGGTCAAGCCACGCCAAACCTCTGCACAGCCTGTTTTGCAATGGACGGTTTCTAATACCTACGGAATGCATTGGACAGGCGGGCCGACGTACAATGTCACCGGTCAGATAGGAAAAGGAGCCTTTGCAACGGTATATAAGCTTGCCACAAAGCAGCATGGGGCCGTGTATGCAGCTAAGGAGCTTGACAAGCGACGTTTCATGAAGAACGGCGTCTTGGACCAGAAAGTGGATAATGAGATGAAAATTATGAAGGACCTCAAGCATGTAAGTGATAGCATCTTCCTCTATACATAGGACGATCGTTCGACTGATACTCATCTGGACAGCCTAATATTGTTCAATATATTGACCACCACGAGCATGAGCGATGGATCTACATCATCATGGAATACGTCCCCGGTGGGGAATTGTCGACATACCTGCAATCCACTGGCAAGATTGCGGAAGACATGGTCAAAACGATTTCTCGCCAGGTCTTGCACGCGCTACAGTATCTCCATAAGCGAAAGATCACACATCGGGATATCAAGCCGGATAATATCCTCATCTCCTCGCTCGATCCACTAAGAGTTAAGCTGTCAGACTTTGGGCTGTCCAAAGTAGTGCAGGAAGAGACCTTCCTCAAGACCTTCTGTGGCACATTGCTTTACTGCGCCCCTGAAGTTTACCCGGAGTACGACTCCTATCGTCGCGGTGAAGTCAGAAAAAGGCGCAGATTAGGTGATCCGTAAGTTGCCCTGTCAATATTTCTTAATCGAACGCACACTGATTGTCAGACCCCCCAAAACATCTCCGTATAGTCAATCTGTCGACATGTGGTCGCTTGGCGCGGTCCTCTACCATATTCTTGCTGGTGTCCCTCCGTATATGGGCCGGGGCGATGACAGAGGAGCTCAGATGCTACGAACGATCATGACCACCGATCCTGATATTGATATTTTGCGCAACGAAGGCGTATCAGAAGAGGGTATTGATTTTGTTACCCGACTTTTAAATCGCGACCCTCACGCCCGCCCGACAGAACGAGAATGCTTTCAGCATCCATGGATTGCTGAGGTTGAAGATGTGGATAAGTACGATGATGACGAAGTATATGCCAATGTCCGGGGTGAACTTTCAGACATCGGTGAGGATGCGGAAGAGGAGTTGGATGCATCTCAGCTTTCAATCCACGACGAACCAGAACCCGAAGATCCGGCCGAGCAAGAGGATAGCGACTTGGCGCAATCTAAGCGGCCGAGGATTGACTACCCCCCCACGGACGTTCGTTACCCATCTCTGCCCCATATTGAAAGTTTAAAAGAAGTCCAAGTTGTTGCTGATACAACACCAAAACGCCTCTTCGGCGAAATCACCCCCTCTGTGTTAGGAAGCTCGGATGCGCTGGGTGCTAAAATGGATGCGTTTGAAGGAGACAATTTCAGCATTAATGACTTCATTTCTTCAGCCGGTGAGTCGATGGTCAGCGACGGCAACAGCCTTAACTCCATCCTTTCCCTTCCGGAGGACCCTATTTGTGGATCCGCACCAAGCTTGATGGGAGCTGAGAACCTTGTTGGGCAGCTGAACATGAATTCGTGGCACCCTGGCACATCAACCAATCGTCCGCCAGTCGTCGAGATACCGGTACAACCCACTGGAGTGAAGGTGGGGGATTCTGTAGAGAAAAAGGAGACGAAGACAAAGCAGCGAACCAGCCCTGGTAACGAAACCCCTAAGCCGGCCATCTTCAGCCGACGGATTGAATTGCCCATGCCTGATACCGCCAGTGAACGTTCGAGCCCCGAGAGTATCGCACAACGTGCCCAGGACGAACGCCACGAAACCAAATCTATCCCAGGGGAGATTTTCGACATCGAGCTGGCAAATACCATCGATGCTAAGACCGGGCAGCCAATCTTAGACTATCCAGAGAGAACAGGTGGCGATGCTCCAGCCGATCCTGCGCCTACCACGAATCCCAAAATTGTACTCCAGCCAAGAAAACCTCCGACTCTCCTGGGCAAATTGACGACGCTTCCTGGGTCTATTTTCGAATTGACGATTCCTCTGGAAGATCGAATGACATCATGGGGCCGGGGTCCTCAAGCGACCGTCTGCTACCCGGACCCCATGGACACGAGAATCCCAGCATATGCGTTGGAGGTCACTTTCTGGGCCCCCGCCATTGAGTCCAAGATAAGGGCGGGTTTGGATTGGATGTCTGTACCTGGTGTTATGGCAATACTCTCAACAAAGACTCGCAAGTGCATTTGGGTGAACGATACGGAGCTGCGCCGAGGGCCGGAGGGGGATACCAGTCGGGAAGGGTTTCATTTTGGCAAGATATACACAGGGGATGTTATCACGATCTATCAGCATCGCCACAAATTTTTGAAGTTTCGATGTGAGTTTTACCATGGGGACAGTGCTTGTACCCGACCGGAGAATGAGAAGGGGTTCACCGTGCGCAAGGTCCTGGTGCCCAAAGACGCGGTTGCAAACCAGCTTCCTGCGCGGAAAGATCGCAATGAAAAGAAGTAATGGAGGGTTTGTTTCATTTTCATATAGATTATATGTATGGCGGTAATGTTTGGATAGCATTTAGGGCTTGATGGGTATTTACTTGCACATGATTCTTGTTTATCTTCTGGAGTTTGGTTGTTGGCATCTCTACGCCCGCCGTTGGGATACATCGTTATGGAGGCATGGATCGGAAAATTGGGTATATCCACGACATCACGTCAGCAGGCTTTTGAAATGGAATGAGGCAATTGAACAGAAAGTTCAAAAAAAAAAAAAAAAAAAAAAAAAAAAAAAAAAAAAAAAAAAAAAAAAAAAAAAAAGAAGAAGACGAAAAAAGCCACAGATACATCATCGCGAAAGCTTTCTCTAGGTAGAACGGACATTGGATGTGATTAGCATGAGGTTATAGTACAATATAAGTATGAACAGTGTACATTGAAGCTTTGGTTATGTTTTGGCAAACAATTCTTTATAAGGATGCAAACATAGCATATCAGTACAGGACGACAGGACATCTAACAACCTATAGGGGGACTCTCGTACGTGATTGAAGCCCCTTCGTCACCGTGTATCATTACATGTGCTTGCTAGTTTCGACGCTAAATTTGTCTCTTCGAAAGGTATACTCTACAGAGTAGATTGAACAGAGTAGTTCGTCACGTCATCTCCCGAAGCGAATGTGAGAAATTAGGGCATATTATTTCGAACCTAGCATTGCATTAGCGTCCATAATAGCCCCCCCTTAGCTTCCAATGGTAGACATACTGAGATCTTGCTAGAGAATTACTGTA